ATTGAGACGAGTGACATGAAAAATTACTTTCCGTCAGCTCGAGGCTGGTGATTAAATTCGATATGCTTGGTTCTGCAGAAAAGCCTCCGAAAATTCGCGACAATAATGTCTCCTTCTTCTTCTTCTTGCTAAGAACCTTATACTCATATGTTTGGGTTATGGGGAGAGGAAAGAAACGTGCTGGTATTCGTAACAGGCATGCTATTTGTGAACAACTATGGGTCTGGGTCGGAAAACACGCACAAAAGCATTTCCCCGGCCCAATTCGATTGCGCACAGAGCCCCATGGGGCTTTTTGTTTCCTTCCCCCTTCCGGTCGTATTCATAGCTATATAGAGACGTAATCCGTGATGAGGCATAAGTGGTACCCTTTGAGAAGATGGGATGGATGCTTGCCCTGAACTTATTGTACATGCGGAGAAGCGTTGTTCATTGTTTCTGCAGAGCAAAAAATAACGTCTGCGTTATGAAGAAATCCCGGAGTTTTTTATGAAGATGACTGCGGACTTGCGGAGTATGGATTGTTTGAAAAAAAAAATGGTCTGAGGAATTGGGGATGAATTATTTCTGCATATCGGACGTCGAATCGATTGAAGAGTTATAAGCAGGTAGTATGAAAAGTTACTCACTCGCGTCATGTTCATTCAGCCTATCAAAAATAATAGGCCCGTTTGAAGTGTCTTTTATTATGGAGCATTTTTCCCGATGCTTTGCTTGGTCTTCAGAATGTTTCAATTAAAATTGAGTATTCTATGCATGAATCCTACGATTACGTGGCGGTATTCTATGAGTGACCGCTTTTGTTTTATTGCAGCTTTTCATTTTTGAATTTTGCAGTTTGCTCATTTCCTGCACGCTGAGATAAGATGCCCAAATACCTCTTCTTTTTTTTACCCTCGTACAAATGAAACTTGCTAACATAACTCAAAACTTCCCCAAGTCAAAGACTTCCCTGAGTCAAGTTTTTGTTGAGCCCCTGCCTGAATTATCTTTTGAAAAAAATAAAATGAACTGCCCTCAGCACTCATCAAACGATTTTCTCCTGAAACCTGTGCAGCTCAAAATTTCAACATATTTCCTTGTGCTAATATTCTGGGGACCCAGAGGAAAAATAAAATTGTTCGAAAATCAAAGCTGTTGATTTTCGAAAGGAAGTGGGTAACTAATGGGGGAAAATGTACCCCTTTTTTCGAAGCTCAGCAGTCTGTGAAAACAGTTACCCAGCAGTTTGAGGCCCAGAAGGTCAAAATTTTAATTTCTCTGAAATTTCTTTTTCCTACAAACCTGTTGCTCATCCTATCTTGAAAACTCCAAAAGTCGAAATCTTTTTGGGTCCCACTGCCGAGTTTTACTTCTCATGGAATGTTTACGCCTGATGGGCATCATCGAGGTCCTTGATTGTTTTTCCTGGTTTCCTGAATTTTTACTGATGAAGTCTCAATCAATGAAGATCTCGGTGAAGCTCCTTGACATTATTGGCAAATTTTCAAATTTATTTCTTTCAGTGACCAAGTAGAAAAGAATGCTAAGAAGAACAAGGCTGCAAATGAGAAGACTCCTCTGCTGAAATCAGAAGGAAAATCAGGGACGAAGACTCTTGTCAGAGGGTTCGGAAGGACTCATGTCTCGATTTTCAAGATTCTGGCTGGATTGGCAATCGGGGTTTTGGCGAAAGCCTCGATTTTGAGCGTCATTTCCGATTGCATCAGCTTCACCAGCCCGATTCTCCTACAGTGGGTTGATGAATTTCTCCCCGATCGATGAGTATATGTCGATGACCATGATTCATTTCGACGTTGACAGAATGCTGATCGAATTCACGTATTCGGACGATCCCATGTGGAAAGGCTTTTTGTACGCCACTCTGATCCCGATATCGGTCGCCATTTACTCCGTCTTATTGCATGGATTCTTCAAAATGGCTCTTTGTGCAGGAATGAGAGTAAAAACTTGCGTCATCGCAGCTTTGTACAGAAAGGTGAGGAATACCTTGTTGATGATTTAATAAATCAAATTTGTTAAATAATTTTCTCGATTTCAAAGTATTTTCAAGGAAGTTCAAAAGTAGGAATAACGAAGACTGAAAATGTTCCACAATAATTCAAACTAAACTTCGATCAAGAATACGCCTTGGAAAAAATGTGTATAGTTATGAAAAAATGTATATACTATATGCTCCGAATGTCGAATTTCTATATAATTTCGATCAAGAGGTCACCCCACTTTATCGAATTTTAAATGCCTTTGTATTTTAGCTAGAATCGTTTGAGTTAGAAAAATTGGGATAAAAGGTGTCGATGCGTCTTTAAAAAGTGAAATTCAGTTTCAGTTCAGCTATAAATTGAGTGTTTTTCAATCATTTTTCAGGCTATCAACATGTCGAATGTCACGCGAATCTATTTGTGAAAGTTATGATTTGTGTCAATTCTTGCTCTAAAAAAATCAATTTTCAGTTTTGCTCTAAGTCGCAGGTTGTGCAATTTTTTTCGGCTATTGCATTCGTCAATTTGTATATATATATATATATATATATATATATATATACAAATTGACGAATGCCACGCGAATCCAGTTGTGAAAATTTTGACTTAAGGTATCCATACTTGATGGGAAAAAAATTAAATCAAATTTCAGCTCAGCTGTAAATCGATTGTTTTTCAGTCTTTTTTCGGCTCTTAAAATGTCGAATGCCACGCGGAACGATTTGTGAAAATTGTGATTAAAAAGGTCGATACTTAATTCAGAAAATAAAGTTCAGCTTCAAGTCAGCTGTAAATCAAGAGTTATGCAATAATTTTTCAGGCTCTCAAAATGTCGAATGCTACACGAAGACAGTCGACACTTGGAGAAATTGTCAATCTAATGGCTGTTGATGCTCAAAGAATCATGGAAACGACGTTCGTAGTGGACTTGGTTTGGACAATGCCGCTTGTACTTGGATTGACCACGACATTTCTCTGGCTCGTCATGGGTTTGTGCCAAAAGTTTATTAAATTTTTGCACAGTTTTTTTTCTTTTATTTCCTTCACTTATGTGTGTGAACGAATAGGCCCATCTGCACTTGCTGGACTTCTCTTATTGATCGCCTTGATCCCGGTCAACACCCTGATTGCCCAAAAATCAAGAAAGTTCCAAATGGCACAAATGAAGCTGAAGGACGAAAGGCTGAAGTTGATGACGGAAATCCTAAACGGCATCAAGGTTTCACCTCGTCATTTTGTTTTCAAATTGAAACGTGATCGAAAAACATGATGAAATCATCCTAACGATTTTTTTCTTTGAAAGGTTTTGAAACTGTATGCTTGGGAGGAATCTTTTGGAGACCAGGTGCGAAAAATTCGAGCCAAAGAAATCGAGATCCTGAGGAAAGACGCATTTCTGAATGCTATTAACAATTTCGTGTGGATTTGCGCTCCTTACATGGTAAGAATATGTCACATTATTGTAATATTGTAACATGTTCATTTATTTTATTTTATTTATGCCAGGTTTCTTTGGTGACTTTTGCCACGTTTGTTCTGTCGGATGACGAGAATGTTTTGGATGCCACAACGGCATTCGTTTCAATAGCTTTGTTCAACATTTTGAGGTTTCCCATGGCTCTGGTACCATTCCTCGTTGCCTCTTTCGTTCAGGTACTATTTCCACTGTACAGATTTTCGATTAATTTTTTTTGATCAATTTTTTTCCTCCCCAGGCTTCCGTTTCAGTCAAAAGAGTCGAAAAGTTCCTGAATTCAGAGGAGATCGATCCAAATGCAACTCAGAGGCTCTTAGATGACGAAAAAGGTGGGGTGTTTTTTTTTTCAATTCAAAAATGTCCATATCAATGTTTCCGCATTTATTTGACATACTTTTCCTTAATTTTTTTTTTCAGTGGAATATCCCATAAAAGTGAGTCAGGCATCGTTTTCTTGGTGTGTCGACGAAGCTGCAGTTTTGACTGACATCGACGTCGAAATTCCGAAAGGAAAACTGACGGCGATCGTCGGACCTGTCGGTTGCGGGAAATCATCTCTTTTATCCGCATTCCTTGGGGAAATGGATAGATTAACAGGCAGTGCCAAAATCTACGTGAGAAATCTGTCCAATCAGATGAGTTTTATTTTATGACATTTTCGAATGAAGGGTGAAATATTCATATAGTATGCTAAGTGCATCGAGAAATGAAATCAGGCGTCAAAATTGTTGCAAGAATTTTTGAGGATATGAGGAGGGATATTTGCATGAATTTAATTGAGGCATTTTTGCAAAATGTCAGTAAAAACTATCACCATTGCAATTCCAACATCATTAATTCCAAATAGGAAAAACTCTAACTTTTAGAAAAATTGCGTCATTTAATTGCCGAGGAATGCACTTCGATTCATTTAAACTCAACTCAAACGTGCTATACTTGAATTTTATAACTTCCTTTATGTTACGGCTTTCTTTTCATGTATGCGTAGGTGAAGTACGTGATTGCTTCCGAAGAGCACAACTTTTTTCAGTAAAAAGTCTAAAATTCACTTTAACGAATCTTCCCTGTCATTCATATTCGGTGGAAGAACAGTTGAAATACTTTTTCCTCATCCTGTGAGTTTTTTAAAAATTAAGATGGAAAAGGATCACTGACACTGCTTGAAACCAACCAAATCTTCATATCCTGAACATTTACTACAATGGATTTTCAATCATAATTTACATGGCCAGATGATTTCAAGTTTTAAAGCACCCCCCTGCTGCAAAGGCGCGTCTTCAAATTCACGGCATATTACTGTGCATTCGAGTATATCAGAAAACAGTAAGCCATCAAAAAATATTATCTGTGTAAACGCAGAGTTTTTCCAGTCGTTTCAGATTTTTTAATGGTATTAATGGTCATAGACAGGATTAAAATGTTATTTTCCTCGTGATCTGGTTTTGAGGTGGGTTCTTGCAATCCTTATTACCTTTTTTTTACAGGGATCAACTGGATATGTAGCACAGGAAGCATGGATCAGGAATATGTCTTTGAAAGAGAATATTCTTTGTGGGAACAAATTCAAGAGGACCAAATACCAACAGGTTGTCTTCGCTGCTGCTCTACAGCCTGATATCGACATCTTGATCGCTGGAGATGAAACTGAAATTGGAGAAAAGGTGAAACAAATTTTTGCAATCGTATGAGGTACATGGTATGAATTTTTAAAGTTGTTTTGCTTGCTTGGGAAGATGATCAGTCAAAAACAGAAAAACAGAGCTACTTTTGACCTGCTACCGACGGAAGTACGACGACCTAAGAAAAACATTTTCGTGCATGAATATTGCTGATGTTGCACACAATTCTCAAAGAATCGAAAATATCAACTTATACTCTCGTCAGAGATATAAGAGCAAAACTGAATAAAAGCAAAAGAGGGTGTTTCATAAATATGTAACATATAATCATGTAACTTGGTCATGTGCCAAAATGCGCTGCATGAATCGCGTTCACTAAATTTGAATCGACGTTGCTGTTCAAAATGCATCAATTTTGCAGAGAACATTACACCTCCTTATTAGGATGAGACTAAGCCAATATTCGTACAATTTTCATTTTCGCAAGTCGACAAACATTTTCCTTGGCAAGGTTTCTTCCTTTTTCATATTATTGCTCATTTTCAAATCGGATATGAAAAAGGCATTCGGGGAGCTTATGATATTTTTTCTTTCGGAGTTTGAAAGTTTATCATCTTATTCGTGAGCGTAATATTAGGATTAATGTGATGATTAAGAGGGTTAGGAGGACGAAGGGCTGTCTTTTCTGTCACGAGCCACGTTTTGACTTTAGCCCTTTATTCACGAGCTGGGTTTATGCAGGTTCATTCTTTTAATTAAAATTGCTGTACGAAGAAAATGTGACTGGGGAGATTCTTTCCGGGCAGTGCAGAGTCTCTTTTAACGTGTTCCGTGTACCCAAAATACTGTAATCTTTTGTTGTTATGCTTCCAAAATAATTGGAATGATGGACTTTCCAATGATTTTTTTCATTTACGAAGGGAGTGAATTTGAGCGGAGGACAGAAACAACGAGTCAGCCTTGCCAGAGCCACTTACGCAGAAAAGGACGTTTATCTGTTTGACGACCCATTGAGTGCTGTTGATGCTCACGTTGGCAAGCATATTTTCGAATACATAATCGGACCTAAGGGACTACTGGCATCGAAAGTGAGCGAAATATTTTTTTTTCTCTATCTTTACGCATTTTTAATATTTTCGATGGCAATTAAGCTGAGTAAGGGCGGAAGTCTTGAAATATTTCGATTTGGATCCAGTTTTAACGAACTTATAGATTGGCTGCTGGTCGAAGAAATAGTCATTCAGCATTGTAATTTTCTTCAAATATTTTTCTGAAATTATGCTGAATCGCAGCAATAAGGAAGAATAAGGCAGCTGTGGGAAATTTTACATCCGGACCAATGGTAAATTTTCGACGGTTCTTGTTTAACTTAACAAAATGTCAGTAAATATAGAAAATAAATGAATGTACAGTATTGTGGATGCACATAAATTTGAGGTTTAACAAATGTAGTGACGTGCGTCACGTCCATCATCCACGTTAGATTTTTGTTTGAGTAGGAATTCTATAAGTTCGTCCACATTTATTTGAGCTATAACTGGCTCTTTCGTGAACGTGGCTTTAATGGGTTACATTTTAATCAACAGAGTAATTCGAAATTATTTTTCAGACTAGAGTTCTAGTGACACACGGAGTATCGCATTTGCCCTCGACGGATTTCATCATCGTGATGGCAAACGGAAAAATTTCAGAAATGGGAACTTACGAAGAATTGATGGATAAACGTGGAGCATTCGCTGATTACATTTTGCAGTATTTGTCGACCGTGGATGAGATCGATGAAATCGAGGATCCCGAGGGTGCGAACTTTTGCTCATTATTTCAAATGATGTTTTGGACTTAATTTTTTCAATCGCTCTTCTTTTCATGCCAGCTATCGGGGAGCTCAAGGAGATCCAGAAAGTTTTAGAAAAGAAATTGGGGAAAGAAGTGGTACAGCGAAGGATTTCAGAAACCAGAAGTCAGATGTCCACCAGTTTTTCAGGGGACTTCAAGAGTTTCCAAAAAGATTCCTCGTAAGAAAATACGTCATCTGTTGGTTAAAAAAAAGGAAGCTACAGGGTCTGTACGCATTAACATTTAGGAGAGCTGCGTCATGAAGATCAATTCCAGCCTTCGTGTAAATTTAAATGTTTACTTAGATGATATTTGGAAGTATGTGAAGGTAAAGGCATCAAATAAAACATTCCAACTTTACTGCTGGAATTCACAGCTACGAAGCAAAGCCAAGGAAACTGGGACGAAAGAGCGACACCAAGACAAAGCGGGTCACTTTCACGGATAGTATGAGTTCTAGTTTCTCAGAGATGTCGCAGCAAAAGAAGCCATCAAGGAAGAAGAAGCCACTCCCAGCTGCCGGAGGAACATTAATTGAAGATGAGTTTGCAGAAAGTGGAAGAGTGAGTGGTTTTTTTTTTAATCGGAAATTTGCTTCAAATGAGGCATTTAAACGTGGCATAATTTATGCATTTGCCAAAAAAATTGCAATGTGCTTTAAGACTAATTAGACAGCTAGCACTCCACAAATTAGTTTAGGGAAGCAGCTATCGAATTCCAATATGAAGAATGAAGCTTCATTGAACAGTTTTTTAAATTTGGTAAATTATAGAAGCGAGTAGATTTATTAAGCCAGATAAAGAATATTCGATTTGAAAATTAAGTTGCATTTCACAGATGGAGTCGCGTTCCTGAAATATATGAATTCACACAATGAGTGTTTAACTCGCCTAACTAAGTTGAAAATGTATTTTCGTCTGTTTTGATTTTATCTTTTTTCTGTGCCTCCTCAAGTAGTGGAATGAATTTCCGGGGAAGTCTGAGAATGAATGATAATAAAAATCTTGAGGACATTTGAATTCAAAGCTTTGAAGCTTACTGTCCGTCTTTCTGCATCCGAGTAAACCAACTTTTTGAAAATGTTTACCAATTTCCATTCTGCGGTCTGCATGGCTAAATTTTTTTTCCGTAAATTTTGTCTACCTTTGATGATCTCACCAAACAAGATGACTATAATAGACTTTCAACCCAAAGCTTAACTATGCTCATCTCGTTCGAGTATGGAGATGAGTGCTGTCGGCTCTTAGTTTGCTAATGAATGCATACAAATTTGGCAGTTCGATCATTTGAACATATTGGAATCATTGCTCATCCAGTTGCCATTTGCTGTTCTCAATTTCAATTGTTATTGTAAGTATAAAATACACCTCCCCGATTTTGTAAACAATATAAAAAGGCTTAATAACAAGAACGAATTACAGTACTTTGATTTTTACGAAAATAATTACAAGTGCTTCACGCATCATTTTTGCAGGTAAAAGGAGAGGTTTTTGTTCGATACTTCAGAGCCATGGGCTGGACTCTGGTTTTGTGCACAATCGTTGCTTACATTGCCTCACAATCTTGCTCTGTTTTGGCGAATGTTTTCCTGTCTGAGTGGTCAAACTCAAATGAGAATCTGAACAGCACCAGCGGTGCATACGAAAGGTCCACAAATATGTACTACTTGGCAATGTACGGAGGAATCGGAGCCGGACAAGGTGCGACATCTCGTTTTTAAAATCGCATCAAATGATCGAAAGGGTTGCACTTCATGCGCGTTGCACCCGAATATTTTCATCAACAGGGGTGTTTATCATTATTGGCGCCATATTGATGGCACTGGGTTCACTCAGAGCCTCGAAGAAAATGCACGACGAGATGCTCAGCAACATTTTGCAAAGCCCGATGTCATTCTTCGACACAACACCCATCGGCAGAATCAACAACAGATTCGGAAAAGATCTTGACACCATGGACTTGGCGATTCCGAGAAGCGTGATTTCAGCATTGAACAACTTCCTTCTCGTGAGAAATAATGAACCACTACTGTTCAACAGAGAATAAAATTCTTTTGTTCGCAATACACGATTTCCGTGTAAAATGTTTCAGGTTTTTGCAACATTGGCTGTCAACGGAGCGACAACTCCTTGGTTTTTGTTAGCTGTCACACCAGTTGCTATTCTGTACTTCTTCATTCAGGTATGTTCATACATATTTTTNAAATTGGGTGCTTTTTTCAGCAAAATTGTCACATCGGAACTCTCCTTCGAAAATATATCGCATCGATAGATTTTTGCATCATTGAATCCATCAAATTCTTCATCGGATTTCTCTTTTTTGAAGTCTTGTTTTTCATGTGAATATGCAGGAAATACAAGCGTGCCAAATAGTCATTTATATAATGCTTTTTAATTAATGATTCTGAAGTTATTTCGGGACAAGAAAGTTGACGCTTCTGTTGACAATTTTTTTCACTCTCTTTTGTCCCGAACAGCTCATTCGCGGCTACAATAATCGTAGAATTTTAATGAACTCTCATTCAGATTTTTTTAGAGATTGGTAAACAAATTAGGGACGTAATACGAAGAAAACCCGCACTTTTTTTCCCCCGATTAGTAAAAAATGAACCTGGCAGAGTTTTTGTAAATTCAACTGGATGCTGTAGTTGTGAAGCATTTGGAAGTGTATGCGTTTTTTTTTTGTTGGAAGATTTCTGTCATGTTGAATTTTTTTCTTTGATTGGAATACATTCCGGAAAAACCTTTTTTTGCATTGTTTTAGAGGTTTTATGCAGCGACATCTAGACAACTGAAGCGACTATCTTCTGTAACTCAGTCACCTATGTATTCACACTTCGGCGAAAGTGTCATGGGTGGACCTACGATCAGAGCTTTTCGACTCCAAGATGACTTCATTGCTGAATCTGAGCAGAAAGTTGATACCCATCAACGCTGTTTCTATCCGAGCATGAACAGCAACAGGTGCGAAATGAATGCAAGCCAATTCCCGTTGGAATTTACACATTCATCTGTGTATTTGACCCTATATACTCCTATAAAAATTTGACCCAACATACGGTCATATATATACAGTTCTGGAAAAGATTTTATTTGCTCACGTTTGTTCTCATTAGAAAAATAAGTACTTATTCATGAAGGTATGTTCACATGTGTTTATGGCCTTATATGTAGGTATCTGAACCAATGGTAAAGGGTGAACCAAAAAAAAGTGAACCAATTTTCTATTTAAAATATATAGGTACAAAATTGACCTGTGACAGTGAAGAACACCAAATGAAAGCTTGTTCTATTTCATTTTAAATTAGATGCAGTTTTATTGTCTCAAGTGCTCAAAATATGTTTGCCCCTCTCATCCCAACTCCTAAATTTTAGGAATTTGTGCATCCTCTTGATGGCAGAATGAAGGGTTTTGATTGCATTTCTGGTCATACACCCTATTTATCATTAAAAACAGCTCTGGAGAACAGGAGCTTGGCGGAAGGAGTTTCCTGACAACTTTTTTGTAAAGTTTTCATTAAAATGGATCTTATGACCATGTCATTGTTTCTGGGACCATATAAGTGCATACCATTTGAAAGAGAATTCAAACAGCTTCTTTTCTTGTTTAGTTTTAAATGTCACAGCTTGATTTTCTACCAAGCTATTTTAACTAAAAAATCAGTTCACTTTCTTTGGCCCACCCTGTATACAGTATATAGGGTCTGATACATAGAGAACTTGAATCAAATTTCATTTTCTAACCGCACGTTTTTTCTCCAAAATTCAGTACATACTTGCTTGAAAAAAATTGCTGCAAAAGAGATGCGATTTTTCTGGATTCACCTTTTGTTTCGAAATTTTGAAATATTATTTTATATTTGAAGATGGCTGGCCATCAGATTGGAGCTGATCGGAGCAGTTTTGGTTTTCTTTGCGTCGATTTTCGCCGTTCTTGGAAGAGATACTTTGAGCGGTGGTTTGGTTGGATTATCCGTCACTTATGCCATGGGGGTAAGTACAAAACATCTATAATATCAATCTGAGGAATAAAAAACTTCAAGAGAACGGCGTGCCTTGTGTGAAAACCGAAATATTCGTCTACTGTGCGTAAACAACACTGATCTCATTTTGCTTCTTCGTTTTTTTCCATGATTTTTTACATTGGATATTCAAAGCTGAAGACAAGCACGCTTTTTATATTTTTGACTGCATTATCTTTGCTTATTTTTTTATATGTCAACGTTTGTGCTGATATGATAGACTCAAGAGTTTGTTCAAAGATTATGTATGCAACATTTGTCAAATCCTCAATTTCCAAGAGTCGGGTTTGGCTTAAAAGTGGACCATTTCTTAATGTATCAAGTATCTCAGTACAGTTGAACCGTGATAACTTATTGAGCCTTTCAAAGTCAAATGCCTCATCCCTATATGTATGTTACATTTTTTCAAGTCCTTGTGTGAATTCCCTTAGAATAAATTCATGATGAACTACCCTGATTCAGCTTTTCATCAGAGACATCCATCGAATTTTCCAGAGACCTATTTGCTATTAGATTGCATGAAAGAAAAAACAATAAAAATGTGGTTCGTTGCGTTTAGAAAGGAAGTGAACACTATATAAGCCCCCCAGTTCAGCATTCTGTAAATTCATTTAAGCCCAAATTTAAGGCCTATGCAGGATATCAAAAATTAAAATTTTCCCTGATTCTTTCCTCCTTCCTCTCACAAAAATGCTAGTTTTCTCAGCTCAAAACCTCCCTAACTCAAAAACCTCCCTATAACTGGATTTTTTTCTGCTCCCTTGAAGTTCGACTTGAAGAGGCTTGAATGTATTTTTTTCATCTCTTCAAAGGTTACAGGGACATTGAATTGGCTAGTTCGAATGTTGGTGGAATTGGAAACAAATGTCGTTTCTGTTGAGAGAGTCCAGGAGTACACCTTAGTTCCAACTGAAGCCGCCAGAGTGATTCCAACGAGCAGACCGGATGCGAATTGGCCGTCGCAGGGTTCCGTCAAATTCATCAATTATTCCACAATTTACCGCCCAGGGTTGCCACCGGTTCTCAAAAATATCAATGCTGAAATCAAGCCAGGAGAAAAGGTACGTCCTCCATATCGGGATTCCAGTAATTCTTCAAAATCCGAGTTTACTTGCATCAATGCAGAAATTAATTCATCAGTCGTCTTAAAAATCCCTCGCGGTTTATATCCGGCATTCGAAATTGGCAGATTGCAATCTGACACCCTTATCATGTATTTTTCATTCGACAAGTATTGTATATATTGAAGCTTTTTACGAAACCAGATCGTTTGAAGATTGAGAAGAAGCCGGTTTAAACTATACCGTTTCAGATATAGAGGGGAAAAAACCTTTTCGAGGAGCTGGATATTTCAAGTTTAATGAATCGTTTGCCAGGTTTTTATCTATAGTGAAATCTTTTTTTCAAACAGGTTGGAATTGTGGGCAGAACAGGGGCTGGTAAATCCTCATTAACTCTGGCCCTGTTTCGCATCATCGAACCCACCCATGGGTCCATCGTCATCGACGGAATCAACACCAAAAATGTCGGTCTGGCAGATCTTAGATCTCGAATCACCATAATCCCTCAGGTCCGGTCATTAAATCTCCGGGATATCTCCGTTTTTTTATTTTTTATTTTTGGAGCATCGACGTTAATCTTTCTCTGTATAGGATCCAGTACTCTTTTCTGGTTCTTTGAGAATGAACCTGGACCCGTTCATGACTAATGACGACGCCACACTTTGGTCGTCGTTGGAACACGCTCATTTGAAAAGTTTTGTCAAGAGTCTGCCAAACGGTTTGGACCATGAGGTTTCCGAAGGTGGAGCAAACCTAAGGTGAGAGAGATGCCAACAATTTTATAAGTTATTCAAAATGTTCCTGAAATATTAGCGAGGAATGATTATAAATGTGTTTGCCAATTCCTTGTGCAACCAAAGTTCTCGTAACTACGCTTTGATCAATAAGAAGACTCGAAAACAATCCTCCGTTGATTTTATTCAAAATTTTCTTCAATTCCTGCCCTGACTGGTTTAACTCAAGTTTTTGCTTCTCAGTCCACATTTTTAAATTTATATTTATACTCAGCCTCACTACCAGTAAAATTGCCGAAATATTAATTTTATTTGTTGACGGGATGACATGATCAAAAGATCTGGAATGTTTGTCGCCAATCATTTTTCACTCCTTGAAACATTTCGTAGGGCCATTGAGCAACTTTCAAATATAACGTTCAAGTGTGACAGATATAAACCCTTTTTCTCACAGCAGTGATACAATTTAATTATTGTTCACTGTGTCTATTCTTCTGGTCAATCTTTAAAAATCGAACCAGTATCAGGTACGCTTACGTAACTGCCAGAAATGAATGCATCTGTGCAAAAAAAATTTAAAATACAGCGGAGAACCTGATTTAAGTTAACTTTCCGAACAATCTTATACGATGGTCGGGTGTTTGTTTTTTTGAAAGAAAATCTCCCATTTTCAATTTTCAGTGTTGGACAGAGGCAACTTGTGTGCTTGGCAAGAGCACTGCTGAGGAAAACGAAAATCTTGGTTTTGGACGAAGCAACGGCTGCTGTTGATTTGGAAACAGACGAGTTTATTCAGAATGCCATCAGAACAGAATTTGCAGGATGCACTGTCATCACTATCGCCCACAGAATCAACACTATCATGGACTCAGACAGGTACGATTTTACGTCAAAAATCGTGAAACTATTATAAACATTTTTGAATGATTGAATTTTTGCTCGTGGAATGATAAACCCTTTGTCACATCGATATGACTTGATGGTTGATTTTTGCGTGTATCGATAGTTGGATTATCCCTTGTTTATTCATTAACTTCATTAACAACTTCATTGACAATTCATTAACTTGCTGAGAAAATCGCTGCCTCACAAAGAAAAAATCAAATTTTCTTTAGAATGAATATGAGCGAATGTTTAAGTTTCGATCGATGTTTCCAGGGTCATGGTGTTGAGCAATGGGTCTATTGAGGAGTTTGACAATCCTGAGAAACTTTTGGAAAACCCAGACTCGCTGTTCACACAACTGGCTCGGGATGCCGGACTTCTGAACTCCTCTGCATCAGCAATTCAGAATGCTTCACCGGAATCCACCTAAATAATTTATTGATGGAATGGATCTATGGAGTGAATGACCTTCTAAAAGTTTTTTGCACCTGCACGCGCAGCTCGGAACAAAGAAAATAAAAAAAATTATTTCGCAACCGAACATATGAGAGTTTCACTTCGCGGAGTGACGATGAGAAGCATTTGGAAAAGACGACATATTTCAACAGATTCTAGGTAGGTATTTTTCTGATATATTAAATATTGTCCTTTTTGCATTGAAAAATATTCAGTATTACTAAAATTACGAATAAAGAAGTGTAACTAAACATTCGGGGGCAATTCTCAATTTTCGCTTCAGCTGATTATGGCTGTTTTCCTGTGACACTATTTTTAAATTTTTGGACTGTTGGATCCGTTTTGAAACTTCGGAAACTTTCCTGGGTTGAAAATATTCAAAGCGCAGTAACTCAATTTGACAATAAAAATTTAAAACTACAAAATCCAACCAATGTTCATTAAAGCTTTTTTCAGTTCAGGGTAGAATATGTTCAATTCAACTAATATAGTGCTTTTTAGAGCGAACACCTCACATCACACTCCAAACGTTCTATAGAACAAACATTTGTGGTGTGACCCTTTACCATTGTACTAAAAACAAAATTCGTGCAAAAAACGATTTGTTCTTCCACGCACGGGACAATTTTTCTTCTTCTTATAAATCTGATTTATATAACGAAAAAGCCATGGAAAAACATGGTACTTCAACAAATTATGTTTGGCATACAAACAACCACTCGATTGTATCAGTCATATTGATACATTTGGTACCAAAGTATGGTCAAAATAGTTCTAATGATTCTTTTTGTCAATAGGGCATATGATAATACGTGATTGCATCCATTTTCTTAGAAGAGCAGAGAACTTTTTCTTGAAGTCTTCCCTCGATTTTAGGAGAGTTTCATTTTCAATCGTAACTGTGTGAATTATGAGAATTCTTCTATGTGGCAGAAGGAAATTGCAGATCCATTTAATGCGCATCTAATGGCTTCAAAAACTTTAAAATTGGATGAATAGCGAGTATTTTATATGAGATTACCATTTTTTTAAAAAAGGAAAATTTCTAAATTCCCAGCAAAAGCCTCTGCTCCCTTTAGTCTATGGGCCAGACGTGGAGGGAGGGAGGCAAGGGGAATATTGGAAAGGGAGTGCTGCCAGCTGATCCAGGGACTGACTCTAAAAAAGTAATAAAAGATAATAATAAAAATTTTCTTTTTTTATCTAATCTATAGAACCAGGTTCCATGCCCCGTGAATCATCGTCAGGTGAGGGTTCAATGGCTTGCAAGGCATTCCAAGACAGCCTTCCATCAGTCGGGCGTCTAAACCGCATCACGGATTCTTGTCAATTACATGTCACCGATTCACGTAGCGTATTATCCAGTGGAAAGGTCGGATGTGAAGGATGATTATCGTCTGGAAGGACCGGCTTTTTTGCCTTCACCTGGTTATCCAGGCTTTGGTCTTCCAAATAGAGGTTGGTTTTATAAGGTTTTTTTTTAAATCCCTAAATTCTTCCTCAAACATTTAAAACAAGTTGGTGATGGTCGTCTGTTTTCATTCTGGGTCATTAATACATTTGTACTGTGGTCTGTGGAGGGTATTACTTTAACATTTTGCATTCAAAAATCCTTCGCCTGAAATTTTTTTGGCAAAATTCATATATCAGAAGACTTACTGTCGCTGAAATATTCATCTGCAGCCTGATTTCCACGCTTTTTGAAAGAAACCCCGTTTTTGACATGAGCTTTTATTCAAATTTGCTTGATTTTTGAAGGTAACTGAATAATAAATAAATTAGGCATTCCTGCTTCTCAGAATTTATGGCAATTTGCCAGAAACGGTAGTATGCTAAATTACGAATTCATGGTGGGGACTTATCTTACCGTTTCTTTTACAATTGCTGCTAAAAAAAAGTTCATTAACGAGCTCAAAGCCATATTTTCTTATGCTCTATTTGCTTTGAACTGATGTAAAAGCCACATTTTTAAAGCTGAATTGCGTATTTTTACTCTCTGGTCATACAGGGAAGGACTTTAGAGTGAAGTATCTGGGCTAAATTAAGAAACCAGCATCCAGGCATATATATTTTCTACTTTTGTCAGTCTTATTTTGTACAATTGTTTACGGAGAATTTCAGTTCCGCGGCATTCGATATTTTGAAATTGTATTTCAAAATGTTAGCTTTAAGAGGGAAACTCTCACAAAAAAATATCTGCAGGTTCCATTCAGCAACGCAATAGTATTCCTTGAGGTTTGGAAGTCGTTTCTTTGTATTCCCCTCAACTGTGTATTGCATAAGCGACTCACTATTGTTTTTATTCATTTGCCACGAAACCAAGCATGAAAATGTAATTATAAAAGCATTTTCTTTAAGTACGAATACATTTTTCGGAGACAGTAGATTTTCATGCATGCATTTCTTGCACTTTCACAACTTCGGGAACCCAAACGCCGTTGGCTACTCAGCTTTGGAAGAACAGCATGTTCGTAATAAAATTTTTTTCAATTCCGAGTTGAAGAAGCGGAGACAATTGTTTTAATGATTGATAGTGGGTGAATTTCTGGCATTATAAGTACAGTATCATTAGATGGCGTTGGTGTTTCCCGAGATTGTTGCATGAAATCAAAGTTTTTTATGATTTAATTGTAAGTGCTTTGAGATTATGCCAGAACTTTTCTGCACACGATCACGAAATTCGAGACTATAAGCATGAGTTACAGCGTTAATTATTCTTGAACTGTGAAATTTTGAAAAAGACTCACCCGAGCCGTAAAAATTAAATTTTTTATTTCAGCAATCGGATTGCCCGCTGTATTGACGTCCGGAAAAATTTCAACCGCAACAATTGTCCTTCAAGGAGCAGCTACTGTGTTGGGACACGCAATTTTCCTGCAACGCACCCCGGTGTCACCGGTTGTGGCGATGATTTCTGTTACTCTGACACCAACAGCAACATTTGCCAATCGAGGCGACGTCATAGCCGACATACGAGCCCTGCCCGTGCAACTGACTGGTGCAAACAGTAATTGTCCCAGCACGGGAACAGTCTACAACCCTTTCCTTGTAAGTGTTATTTAATTCAAAGCGAATTGTAGGCAAAGTATGATTTAGCATACATATATAGGGGATTTTTTTTTTCAAGCCAATATATAGGCATTATATAGGGCACCAGAACACCAGCATTTTTGATGCAAGATAGACTCGACTGGAATCAAAAAGTTATCTATGAATTTGAGTCTACATTTATTGTTTGTTGTCAAGGAAGTGTCAAAAAGTCTTTATTCGTATCCCAGCAATTTTTTTCCCCCGAGGTCCTCCGAAATGGGGATATCTGGATGAATTCTTCTTGATCTTAAAATCTGCCGAAGAAAGGTACAAGCCGTTTATTTAGGCTGCTCTCCTTTTTTTAAACTAGATTTCAAATTATTTGGCACCTGCTGTGAAAGCAGTGCCACAAACAGTCAATCCAAGATTTTAAAATCCAGATTAATGGACTGCAATTTGGCAATTTCCCTACCATCAGAACATGATCACGATGGATTTTATTGTCTGACACATGTGTATGTACATAAGAAATCATCAATGACAATCTATAGGTCATCAAAGTTTTCCCATATAGTTTGGTTCTTTTATCTGCTGAAGGCTTTGTAGAATTTATCCCTTAGGTATCTGTTTGACTATACTGTACTGTACAAACAAATTTTTGGTCTAGGATTCACAAGGAACTTTCAGTAACACCTCCATTTTTCTTAAAATTGACCAAAAAGCAGAACTCGGTTTCATTTTCTCAACGATTTTGCATGTCCAAAGAAACAAGAGAGAGAATAAGTATTAATGAAGACATTTTTAATAATGTTTAAAGATAACGTCAGATGCGGAGTATTAGTAAAAGTTAATCTTTTAAAATTTTCGAATTCATTCCATTTTTCGTGCCTTGGGGATTTTTGGATTTATCTGTCATAGGAACGAACTCGGGATTAGAAAATCCCGGGATTACCAATATTGAAAAATATTCTTTCTCAAACAATAAGTGGTGCCAGAATTTGCTGAGATTGTTAAGCATAAGCCACCTTGATTGGGTGGAACTTTCAAGACTCTAGCATACATTTGACTTCAATTCTACAAGGATTTGACTGGAATATGGGGATAAATAGCCTCACTGAGATTGTTCTCATAATAAGTCAGCCATTTTTGGAGTCTCAAATCAGTATCCGATTTTTTATGTGTGGCAGAATCCGTATTCTTCAGTTTAATCAAGCTGTTCTGGCCAATCTGGAGATTACATTTTCAGTAGGATTTTGCGATACACCATCGGTGCTCTTTGGCCAAGTTGGCAAATCATGACCAAGCAGTACTTTAAAATAGTGTCGAAACAGGCATAACAAATGTCGTGTTTTCGCTGCTAGTTTTCTTGAATAACGGACGATCAAACGTTTACAAGTACCGATACATTTTAGCATTATTTTAAACACCGCTCGAATAAAAAAAACCAAGCCGAAAGGAAAAACGTTTGCTGGAGTTGATTTGACCAAAAGGCATCAAAAGATTCATATTATGGCCCAGAAAAATAAACTGAAGTCGTCGGAATTTATTTAAAGAAGGGATTCACGTGAAGTTCCTAGCTTTGTTCCCAGATATCTGGGCAATTTTTTATTGATAATTTTCGATAGAAATTTGGACGGTCATTTGTTTTCACATCAGTATTCTATACTTAAGCGAGAACACTTTTCTCGTGGAAATGCTTCCTATATAAGGGCCCTCCCAAAAAGATCTCAACATCCCTGCTAATGAACTCATAGCCCCAACCACATTGTATTTCTGACCATTTTTGAAAGATGATCAACATTTTCTTTCTTTGAATTTGTACCTGTACAGGTGCCGAATGGAGGTGTAGTCACTGCTACACTTCAGACAAATTCAGCCGCGGTTGCAACTTTTTACGCTCAAGACATTCCTTCAACAAGAATGACGTTGTTCACCAATACGTACACAATCAATGGACGATCATTCGTGATCAGCACTCTGCGAGATGGTCCTATTGCCTGCGGAAACATAGTTGAAGTTTGAGGAAGAAAAAAAAAAAGGAATCGTTCAGTTTCTTGTGAATCTCTGCTGGTACATTTGTGATGGTTCTGTCGGGGTTCTTCAGTTGTTGACTGCTATATATAATTGAATCCACGAACAAGAATGTGTTACTGTACTTCGGAGTTTAATGCATGTTT